CAACACCGAGGGTTGTGATCCCGTTGCCAGTCCCGGTCCGGTACGGGCGCAACACTGAGGGTTGCGATCCGTTGCCGGACACGAAAAAAGACAAAAAGGAAAAAAAAAAAAGAAAACCTTGGAAAGAATGTGCAATCGTCATACTGCTGGAGACTTAGAGAGGATGAATGTCATAAGCCCTCTGGTCTTACCTTTATCTATTTTAGGCTTTCTAGGCAAGAAAAAGGAGTTCTGGGCTCTCTGTTTTTGCCCCTGTTCCTCACTATTGGAAAAGGGATGAGCTCTGGCATCTGTCTGTTTTAGTCACTAAATCAATGTAAGCCCAAGGGTTGGCTCCAAATGTTATGGTTAATTTAGACCTAGAATCTTTAAGGTTAATGTAAGATGTATACACAGATATTTACTACTCAAAGAAATAGGAGGGTACTTCAAAAAGCTCATGGAAAAATAGAATTAAAAGGTAATACGAAACTTTCCATGAACTTTTTGAAGACCCCTTGTATGTGGTAACAGCGATAATTGCTCTATTAATATTTGCTGAGTGAAAAAATATAAAAGCTCTCATTTATTTGCCAAATGATCATCAACTATCCTCTCTGTGTCAGATGGAAAGATCCTCGGGTCCTAGTCTTCAAGGAATTAAATCTCGTGTGAATGAGAGACAGTTTCCTATATAAAATGCCATATTAAAAACTGACTGATTTTCCTATATTTAAATACTTGAACAAATAAAATCATTTTCATCACCATCTGATTTCTCACTTTATGAAACACAAAGCATTATGTATTATCAAGAGAGGAAACCTGCCTCATAGTGAAAATTGGTTATGTAACAGCAGTTTTGAACTGCAGTGAGCTGCAAATGTGGGTCGCTAGATGATGGGAACACTTTCCTTCCCCTCCTGCAGATTAAAGTCGCTGTGTCTGCAGACAGAGATTGTATCCGGGCCTACCAGCCTCAGATTTCTTCTACTAACTACAACACCTTAACACTAAATGTTAAGACGCGTGAACCTGATAATCTTCTCTTCTACCTCGGTAGCAGCACCAGTGTAAGTTACGGTCCTGTGGAATGCAACGATGAGTCTTATGAATGTATATATTTACTTAATTGACACTTTTCTGATGGAAAAAAATAAGGCCTTAGAGAAATCACTGAATTCTGCTATAGGGACTAACCTTTGCTAAAGTGGTAGCATTAGATTAAAAGTAAACAACCTGCAAACTTGAATGCCTATGAGGACTGAAATGACATTTCTGAACAATGCGTCCCCCTGCCGTCTTAATAGCAAGTCGTGGAAATACAACACTGCTTGATGCCCTCTGTGACCCCTGCAGTAACTGAGTATCGGAATTGTAAAGTTTTACCCAGGTCCTTCCTGCCAATAAGATTCCAGATCATTGATGCCCTTGGCTGTGCCAGTGGGATGAGTCAGAACCCTTGGGAGTGTTAGGGCAGAACTGTTAACAAGCACACATGGGATCTGATGTGTCTTCTTAGGAGACGAGACTAGAGTGCAGGCAAGCCCCTGAGTGGGGTTCCATGGCTCCCGTCTTGCAGAGAATATTTCACATCCGTTTGTTGCCTGAGACTGGGCAGAAGGACAATTGCAGCGCCGTCTCCCATGCTCCCTGGGGACAGCTGGTTTTCCTGGGGAACTGTAAGGGGGGCATTGTGGAGGGCCGTGCCAGGCACAGACAGGAGGCACCACTGTGCAGTCGTGGTCGCTGTCCCCAGTACTCTGAGTCGGGCTCCACCTGCCCTTGGCTGTGCCAGTGGGATGAGTCAGAACCCTTGGGAGTGTTAGGGCAGAACTGTTAACAAGCACACATGGGATCTGATGTGTCTTCTTAGGAGACGAGACTAGAGTGCAGGCAAGCCCCTGAGTGGGGTTCCATGGCTCCCGTCTTGCAGAGAATATTTCACATCCGTTTGTTGCCTGAGACTGGGCAGAAGGACAATTACAGCGCCGTCTCCCATGCTCCCTGGGACGGCTGGTTTTCCTGGGGAACTGTAAGGGGGGCATTGTGGAGGGCCGTGCCAGGCACAGACAGGAGGCACCACTGTGCAGTCGTGGTCGCTGTCCCCAGTACTCTGAGTCGGGTTCCACCTCCAGGGAGGGAAGCGTTGAAAGACAAGAGAAGATAGCTTTTTGGTTTTGTTTTTTTTTTTTCTTTTTAAGAATAGAGAAAAAGCTGTAAGAATTTGTTTTTTAAAGTGTTTTGGTGGTCGTGCCAGCAGTCCAGTGTATAACTCCATCCCCACTCGTGCCCCACCCAGTCTGACTTCCTTGCTGTGGAGATGCGGCGAGGGAACGTGGCCTTCCTGTGGGATATGGGCTCCGGCTCAGCACGGGTGGAGTTTCCTGACTTCCGCATTGACGACAACCAATGGCACAGCATCCATGTATCCAGGTAGTGGAGAAAGTTCTCTCGGGATTATCTCTCTTTGTAAACTGTGTCTTACAAGTAATGACATGCTTGTGACATCATATAGGCTTTGAAACTTGGGGAAAGTCAGATTATAATCAAAGAATACTTGGTTTAGGGGCCGGCTCGGTGGCGCACTGCTACAGTGCGCCGCTTGGAAGCGCAGTGGCGCTCCTGCCGAGGGTTCGGATCCCACATACAGACCGGTTCCCACTCACTGGCTGAGCGAGGTGCGGGTGCGACACCGAGGGTT